TAAGAACCCAGCCTGCTTTACCAACTCTTTCGCTCTCATCGTAAGCACTTGGCACTGCAGGCCCCGGGAGCGAGCTGCGCTCCCTGGGAACCCCGGCGGCTCCCCCCACTGTACTCAGAAGCTGAGCAGCTTTTTCTCCCACCTGCCTGCCTGTGACCCCAACCTCTGGCTCAGCGCCCAGGTGGTGCAGGAGGCCTTTCCAGGACCTGCAGTTACAGTTATTACACACCCTCTCACCCCTGCATTCCAGCCCCACAGCTGTGTTTGCACATCCTGGCTCTCTCGGCACCCCTGCACGGTTGCCTGCACTGTGCATTGTAACACACGCTCCATACACATTCACCAAATCCCCTTCCAGAGCCAGCTCCACCACATGATAGGGAAAGGGCCTTTTGTGTCATATTTTTCAAGGGGTTTTCATTTTGTAAGAAGAAAAAATGGATTGTGTCGGCGTCACAAGGGTCCACCCCCTTTTCATAGCTGGTGGCTAACCTCAGGGTAGTGGGTCACTGCGGGGCTGGTCCATCTGGGAAGTGCAGATTCGGCCCGATTCCCCACATGGGGAGGGACACTAACCGCTGGGCCTCCTGGAACATGAGCCCGGACGAGCCCAGGATCAGGCGCTCTGCTGAGACGTGCCCCAGGACAGGAGGCGCGCAGCAAAGGTGAACGCTTCCGTTCCATGAAGCACCTACGGGCAACGCCATCCCACCGCCCCTGGCCAGAGGAATGGGGGTGGCTTGAGTTGAATTGTTTCATAAAGTACCTTTTCTAAGTAAACTTTTTCATGTTTGAAGTGGTATTTTTGAAACTGCTTTTTATTTTATTTAAGTTACTATTTTATTTCCAGAGAGATTTTTGTTATAGGGCATGTGCTCTCACTGGAGAGACAGAGACAGAAAGTGAGAAAACACCCCCTCAGAAGAGATGGCCACACCACAATCCTTTCTCCTCCATTCTCCTCTTGTTATTTTAGGCAGGCACACACACACACACACACACACACACACACACGCCTGGGGTGAGTTTTAAGCCACTGGGACTGGAATCGCAGTCGACCATGTGGGAGTCTAGTGCCTTAACCACTGTGCCATCTGCTGGCCCCCTAAACTGCTTTGCAAAATGCGTTTAAACATGTTTTTAAACTCTCATCATCTTAGAGTGTTATTACCTTGACTTGAATCTAATACTTTGGAGATGTCCACTTTCTCTTTCTAAATATGGCCTTCTGGGTGCCTCAGTCATACTCGACTATTCAGGCAGTACTCAGATGTAAGTGCTAAGATTTATGAAACATATTTTTAAATACACACACACACACATATATTAGATTTTTTTTTTTTTTTGCTATAGGGCAAGGGCACTTGCTAGAGAGAGACAGAGGCAGAGAAGGAGAGAGAGGGAAAGTGAGAAACCACCCCCAGCCCCCCGAGAGGATAGCTACAACACCATCTTTTTCTTTCCATCCTCTTTAGATTTTGGGCACGCATGCACACGTGCCTGGCATGATTTTCAAGCCACTGGGTCTTAAACTGCAGTGTCAGCTATATGGGATCCAGCCCCTTAACCGCACGCCACCCCTGGCCCTTGATATATTTATTTTTAACTTGCATTTCTTGGTGATGGGGCCTAGAAATTACATAAGAGTCGCTTGTTTCTGGGTTTTGTTTTAAAAATTGCGTATCAGCCATCTACCAGGTTTGGGGGTGACTGGAGCGTTGTGAGAGTCTCTTCCAGGCAGTTCATTTCTTCTCACAGGTTGGGACGGATTGCTTTTCTTTGAACTCGAAGCCACGTCTAAAATCAGATCTTGGGGATTTCCCAGGCGTGTTTCTCTACCGTTTACACAGTGCCCCTCTTTCCTTTCTGTGAGCTGTCCGGTCACATCCCTCCGAGCAGCAGTGTCTGAGGCTCAGTAAGTGACAGACGGGCAGGAGAGCCCCCAAGCGAACTTAGCAGGTAAGCCAGGAAGGCCAGGAGAGGCAAGGGTGAGAGCATCCAGGGAGGAGATGGCGAAGGCGACAGAGAAGCGTGCACGTCGGCACTGAGGAGCGTGAAGGGCTGTAGGGGAAACGGTGTTCGAGGTCAAGGGGAACTAGCGCCTGTCCCAGGCTGGAGAAGGGCCTCAGCCGCCGTGGGGGAACAGGCGTCGGCCCCACTCCGGGGTCACGGGCGCTCCGATCCCTTTGGTCTTCAAGGCCCCTCGTCCCTCTCTGAGTAGTTGCAGAAACCGTCTTTTCCTGTCGCCAACACGGCTCGTGCCGTCCTGGCATACCCGAGCGCTTTCGCAGGCTTTCTGTCGTTCTGCTTCTAGACCTTTCCAGTCTGTCTGACGTCGTCACCAGCTGGCCAGTAGTCCTGGAGCTTTGCTTTTTGTCGGGCAATTCTGATAATGTTAAACTTACAGTCCGAAACTGAGGGAGCATTGTCACCTGGCCTCGCTCCCCTGGGACTGCCTCTCCCGCTTCCGCCGGCGCCGACCCGCTCCAGCTCCGTGAGCGGCTGTGGTCTGCTTTGCGGGGCCCCGTTTCTCCTGCCTCGGTGCTCCCTTCTCTGCGTCTGAGCAGCGCAGGTTGTTTAGCAGAGCCTGGGCCTCTGCCTCTGCCACCCCAGCACCTGCTCCTCCACAGAGCCACAGCCCAGAGCACCTCCAGACATGGCCAGACGCCCCCACTGGCCTGAACTCCCAGTTGAGAACCCCTGGTGTAGAATAAACAGCATACATCCCGATCAGACTGAGAAGACGAGGGTGTGATTTATGCATTTCGAGGTCTGATGGGAAGACGAATTAAGGTGGAGCGAGAGAGCGGATGTCAAACTGAGTCTCTGTCTGCTACAGTAGGCCACAGAGAGGCCACGCGGGGTTGACGAGCGCTTGTAGAGCGTCTTAGGGTTAGAAAGGCCAAGATGACAGACATAGCTTTCAACTGAAATACTAAGAAATGCTGAGTTTTTGTTTTGTTTCATTTTTTAATCATTTCATACTTAGAATATCATTTTCAATAAATATTAGGTTGTCTGGCAAGTCATGACATACTTCCCCACATTTTTTCTATGCAAAACTACATCGTGACTTTCCTGACGACCCAGTAAGTATTATTTAACTGGAAATATATCTGGATTTTACACATACCCAGTGTCTTTGGACTAAGAACTAGATTTTGAAATGCATTTGAGAGAATGAGTTTGAAATTATGGGGGAAAGTTTTATTAAGTTTTAACTATTGACAGTCATCAGTTATTTTTAAGCGTAGTTTTGCCTATTTGTCCTTCTCTGCGTCTGAGCAGCGCAGGTTGTTTAGCAGAGCCTGGGCCTCTGCCTCTGCCACCCCAGCACCTGCTCCTCCACAGAGCCACAGCCCAGAGCACCTCCAGACATGGCCAGACGCCCCCACTGGCCTGAACTCCCAGTTGAGAACCCCTGGTGTAGAATAAACAGCATACATCCCGATCAGACTGAGAAGACGAGGGTGTGATTTATGCATTTCGAGGTCTGATGGGAAGACGAATTAAGGTGGAGCGAGAGAGCGGATGTCAAACTGAGTCTCTGTCTGCTACAGTAGGCCACAGAGAGGCCACGCGGGGTTGACGAGCGCTTGTAGAGCGTCTTAGGGTTAGAAAGGCCAAGATGACAGACATAGCTTTCAACTGAAATACTAAGAAATGCTGAGTTTTTGTTTTGTTTCATTTTTTAATCATTTCATACTTAGAATATCATTTTCAATAAATATTAGGTTGTCTGGCAAGTCATGACATACTTCCCCACATTTTTTCTATGCAAAACTACATCGTGACTTTCCTGACGACCCAGTAAGTATTATTTAACTGGAAATATATCTGGATTTTACACATACCCAGTGTCTTTGGACTAAGAACTAGATTTTGAAATGCATTTGAGAGAATGAGTTTGAAATTATGGGGGAAAGTTTTATTAAGTTTTAACTATTGACAGTCATCAGTTATTTTTAAGCGTAGTTTTGCCTATTTGTTTTTTTTTCCCCATTATTTGAGTATTGTCCTTAAGTTACAAAATTTCGCAGTCCCAAGTGATACACACATGCATACACACACTCGTGTACTTACATAACACGTATGTGTGCGTGTGTTTAGACATTATCTATAGGAAACTGATTTTGTATCTTTTTGCGACTTATACTCATGTGTACTTACGTAACACGTGTGTGTGTAGACCTTATAGGTAACTGATTTTGTATCTTTCTGTGACTTATACTCATGTGTACTTACATAACACGTGTGTGTGTGTGTGTAGACCTTATAGGTAACTGATTTTGTATCTTTCTGTGACTTATACTCATGTGTACTTACATAACACGTGTGTGTGTGTGTGTAGACCTTATAGGTAACTGATTTTGTATCTTTCTGTGACTTATACTCATGTGTACTTACATAACACGTGTGTGTGTGTGTGTAGACCTTATAGGTAACTGATTTTGTATCTTTCTGCGACTTCTTTGTAAGCTGTTAGTCTCCTCGTGTATTCTCACACTCACGCATGACATCGATGAGCTACTGGTGTGCTTCTGAAAAATGACACATGGCTTCGTCTTTTCTCAGCTGTATGCCAACCGCAGTGCAAACACGGCGAGTGCATCGGGCCAAACAAGTGCAAGTGTCACCCTGGATACGCCGGGAAGACCTGCAATCAAGGTAGGGACAGGCCTGTGCAGAGCCTTAGCTGTCAGCCTCCTCCAGTCCTGTTGGGTCAGAGATTTCAGTGTCTCATCCCCAACTACTTTCCAGAGCTCTTTTCCCAAACACATGAGCTGCCGTTTTGCTGATAAACAGAGAATAGTAAGTTTTGCAAAATTAATTTGATCACAGGACAAGTATTCTCCTTTTCTTTGCGACTAATCACAATGTATTCTGGAGAAAATCACAGCGTCAGTAATGCGGAAGCCCTGTTCTTCCTCCCACGAATCGGGAGCTTTGGAATTTCTCTAACCTCCTCGGACTTTGGGGCTGCTCGTTTTTCATGCCAGCAGCCGGGAAGGAAGTCTGACTTAAAATGTGGAGGTCCTTTCCAACTGCGAGGCCTCGGGTTCCCTGATGCAGCCTAAACTACTGACTACTTTGAAATGTTTCTCTGAGGAATAAAAATGGTGATTTAACGATAAGTACCATTCACATATGAAAATATGTACCCAACATGCCCAGTTCTCAGGTATTTTATGTGTGTTTTCTATTTTCACCCTTATACCACTAGATAGACTGTTATTTATTATAATTAAAATGATAGTTTATTAATTATTATTTTGTTTTTCATTTGGAGAGACTGAAGCTCAGAGACATGGTTCTGCCCAAGTTCACAGTACTTTTTCCTGTAATAAATACTTACTTCTCTAGAGAAAAATAGACATACATTGACTTAAAATCGTGCCATACTCCTTCGGGAGAAGCGAATTTCATTAAAAGCAAAATGGGATTTCATACCAGAAAAAATATTGCTGGCATTGAAAATGTAGTATCATGTCCAACGTTAAGAATTAAACTCCAGCTTGGGGTCCACTTACATGTTTTAGTCATCTCTTACTTTGCTCTTCTTCCCAAAATGAGCATTGTGGCAGGTTCCTGATGGAAAGGCTGATGTTCCTTAAAAGCAATGACCATGGGGGTGTCTCCACGATTTCTGGGTTGCTCAGGATGTTGCCGAGGCGGCTGGCCCGTGAGAAGTACACTGACTGTGAGTGTACGCTCTTCTAGCCCTGAACGCCAGGGCACTTAGGAGTCTGGGCAGCTGTCCAGTGCAGAGCTGGCAGAGCCCATTCTTGCATGGCTAACAGTGAGCCTGGGTGAGTTAATAAAGAAAACCGAGGTTTACTTACTAACTCAGGATTCTGGTGGCTGAAAAACCTGAAGGCTTAGGCCTACAACATGGCTGGCGTGGGCACAGGGCAGGGAGGCACGTGCAGAGAGCAAGCGGCCTGTCATCTCTTTTATAGCATCCAGCTCTCAGGATAGCTCACCTCTTGTCCCAGGTTCTGAAACTCCCTGGGTCTCTCAGACGTTGTTCATGTAGTCATGAGTCTGGCCTCCATGATGTAATCGCCCTGATCCAGTCCCTGCCCACTGGGCATCACCACCTCCCTCCCAACATCAAATTCCAAAACATGAAACTTTGGGGAACAAGCCATGACCCAGGCCATCACAGGACCCTTGCAGGATCTCTGAACCTGTGGCCTGAGAGTCTGACCAGTGGAGGGAGGCTGTCTGTGGCCTGGGCAGTGAGAGGGCTGTCGGGAGACCCCAGGATTATCAGAGCCAACTGTTGATAGCTGCCACTTTGTTAGTGTAGATGGCTTTTATTCAGCCACACTTTTCCATAAGGCAGCTGGATGCCGCAGAGATAGGGGCATCCAGCGGGAGATAGGGGCATCAGCAGGAGATAGGGGCATCCACAGGAGATAGGGGCATCAGCAGGAGATAGGGGCATCAGCAGGAGATAGGGGCATCAGCAGGAGATAGGGGCATCAGCAGGAGATAGGGGCATCAGCAGGAGATAGGGGCATCAGCAGGAGATAGGGGTCAACAGGAGATAGGGGCATCAACAGGTTTCCTTTCTTGCGAGCAGAGGTGTCAAGAAGAAGTAAATTTGAAATAATTTCACAGACATGGATATTAGGTTTTGAGTACAAGTAGGTTTTGGCATACAGCAAGTATTCGCTAGGACTGTGGTGCGAGTTACGTACTTTCAGAAATAAGCCCCTGGACGCTTGCTTTGCGGAGTGAACAGTCTGAAGAAACGACAAGTGTTTACCCAGTTCTTTCCCAGCTGCCTGGAGAGCAGCAAGCGGGCGGGGCAAAGGGCACCCAGGACCTGCTGATTCCGCGGTCTTGTCACAGGCTCACGGTGACCTGCTTAATTCCGCGGTCTTATCGCAGGCTCACAGTGACCTGCTCAATTCTGACGGTCTTGTCGCAGCCTCACGGTGACCTGCAATTCCGCGGTCTTGTTGCAGGCTCATGGTGACCTGCAATTCCGCGGTCTTGTCGCAGGCTCACGGTGACCTGGTCAATTCCGCGGTCTTATCGCAGGCTCTCGGTGACCTGCTCAATTCTGACGGTCTTGTCGCAGGCTCACGGTGACCTGCAATTCCGCGGTCTTGTCACAGGCTCACGGTGACCTGCTTGGTTCCACGGTCTTGTCGCAGGCTCACGGTGACCAGCTGGCGGTGGCTTGGTCTTGTCTCAGAGTTGTTTTTTCACCGAGACCAGGTACAAAATCGTAGGCTCGGACTGAGATGAACATGCTCGGCTGAATATGTTGCCTTCTGCAGGAGGTGAAATTCAGCTGGAATTCTGGCAAGAGTCTCTTATCATTTTTCCCCTCTGTACTTCCTACAGTAATTTTATTTATGAGTATTTCCCCATTCCTGGAGTCTCTGTACTCATAAATCCCCTTACCTCACAGCCAAAGAAGAACTCTATTACAGATAAGAATCTTTTTGTAAGTTTCCCATTGGGGAATGACTTTCAGCATATTTTCAGAAATAAAAGACATTCTGTTGAACTCAGTGTGCTTTATAATGATGTCAGAAGAAACGAATCAAAGGTAGAAATTACTAGTGCTTTGGCATTGTGTTTGATTTTCATGCCGAATTGCTGTTCCAGGATAAGTATTGGCCTCTTTCTGCACTGGGCCAGACATTCCGTGTTGGTGGGCTAGTTATGTCCAAGTGCGGGTCACTTTCCAAAGCACAACAGTCCAAGCCCGCTGCCCTCCTAGTAAATTTACGTTTTAATCATCTCTTACTTTGCCTCCTGATGAGAAAAGATGTTAAGGTAGTTGCATACAACCCTAGGTTTCGAGGGATGAGTGGTATACTTGCTATATACCGAAATCAATGATCACTTGATTTAGAAGGTTTTGGGTTTTTTTTTTTTTTAAGAGATTTTTGCTATAGGGGTGTGCACTCACCAGAGAGACTGAAAACAAGACATCCCTCCTCCCCATCTTCCCCACCGCCCCCTGCCCCCAAGTCCCAGGGATAGTCATACTGCAATCCCTTCTCCTCTCAGGATTTCGGGCACACGTGTACACATGCCCAGCATGTGTTTCAAACCTCCGGGTCCAGGACTCAAACTGTGGTAGACCACATGGGAGTCTAGCATCTCAACCAGCACGCCACCTGCTGGCCCCTGATTTGGAAGCTTGACTGTAGTCTGGAATCAGAATGTGATTGCCTTTTTCACTCTCCTCTTTGTGTCTCACCTATCTTAAACAGTATTTCGAGACACTAATAATGGCAACCATGAACATTTCTTGCACAAAGCTTATGGGTATTCCAATGACATGCGACCTAAATATTTTATAGCATACGTTTTTACATTTGAATGAAAGCAGTGATCATCCATCATGCTATTATTTAGTTATAAGGTCCTTATGCAAATCATAAGCATGTGCATACTTTTGGAATATTTTAAGCCACTTTTGTACTACATAATAATATAGGACAAAAATCTTAAGGTAGTCATTTAAGACTCCGGTGTCCCTAAACAGAGTAGGTTGGTTGTAATCAATATTCATCATTTGGGTTTGCTCCCTTTGGTTGATGACTAAAATGGTGCTTTTAAAATGACCATCTCTTTAATGGTGTTTCTTAAAAAAATAGAATGAGAATGATGGATTGGGAATTTACAATATGCTTTTTATCCTTGGAAAGTAAGATGACAGCAATACATTTTTAGGAAAGTGAATATTTAAATATATATATAGAAAGAGACCAGAAGAGCTAGAAGCAATTCTTTGTAAAGTATCTGAAGCATTCTTTTTGTACACCAACCCTATGTAATTGTTTAATATGTACTTGTAAAGATTTTTAGGGCTAAAAATGACATCAGTTCAAAGTTGACTCTTATTACCTTCTTCCTGGTGTGAAGACGAGCACATCTACCCAACTCCTCTTGACCAAGGCAGTGAACAGCCTCTTTTCCAACCCCCGGATCGTCAAGTCACAAGTTTACCTTCACGGGGTGAGCGTGCATCGTCTCAGGTGGCCTGCACCTCCCAGCTGCACGGCTTCCTGCAGTATGGCCGTCTTGCAAATGTCCTGCAGACTAGCCCAGCGCCCAGCCTGCAGCCCTGAGCTGTGAAGCCAGCAGCAGGACTAGTGACCTGGGCTCATCCTCTGTGCTCTGAAAAGCTTGGAGCCTCCGCTGTCCTCTTACTGCCTGGAGTAACATTGCCTCTCCTCTTCTTTTCTGAGTTTCCAAATGAGATAGGAAAACAACTTTAATTTTCATATATAGGCAAAGCCAGGAGTACCAAACCACTCCTGATGGGGTTTTTGATGTCTTTTGTCAAGTAAACTTTAAAGCAATCAAGTCATTTCCCCCTCCACCATCTATTGGTGGTGTAGAGTTTCAGGCTATCTGGAGGTCAAAGGATGCATTAGCTGCTTTTTTTCCCAGTGTACATCATATAATAACAGAAAGCCTAACTTCTAGTTCCAGAATGGCACTTAATTAGCTGTTTTATTGTGAGTGGGTCATTAAATACGTATGGGTTTTAGCGAACCTCAGTAATAGGACAATTCCTGCCCTGTTTTCCTGTGTGGTCTTCTTTGTGCTGGAAAGTGTTGTAGGAAGGAAGGTGGTAGCATAATTTACAGTTCTCTCCAACACTATCCCTCCCCCACTTCTAGCTTTAGGAACTTAGAATAAATTAAACTAGCATACATTATTAATTATTGTCTCTCTGCCAATAGGGTGTGTTCGTATATCTTTAGCACAAGGAAAGGAATGGGGTTAATTTATAATTTAAAGAACCAAAGTTATGGCGCTGGACGTATTGAAATCTGTTTGCTGTAGCTGTCACAGTGACCAGATACAACTTCAACGTTTAGATTTCTAAAACATTGCCCAGTTTAAGTATTGAGGGGAAAAGAATCCAGATGCATGAAAATAAATAAAGACTCTTTTCCATAATCCTCTGAGTTATCTTATGTCACAAATCTCTTTCAGACTTTCCAAGCTACTTTCCAGCATCTGCATGCTAATAAAGTTTCTGATTCTTTTTTCCTCAAGTGTAATAATAATGCTTTGCGGCTTGCGTTTTTGTTCTGGAACAGTCTCCTTTTCCCTCCCACCCTCGGAAGCCACCATCCTGCTTAAATGTGCTCCTGGTGGTAACTGATCCTCTTTCAGAATTGTGTACTTGATAATGAAAGCATTCGAATGTAAGTGTTTTAATTGTAAAGCTCCCTCCTTGGTGTGATAAGATAGGTAGGTATGTGATGGAAGTTGTTCAATATTTTATTCTAGATTTTCCATATAATTTATGTTACATTAAACTTAAAAGTACATTTAAAATGTAAACACTAAAGTTTTATTTCTTAGGATCTCTTATCAACTTTTAAGGTTTATTTGAGACAGTGTCATCAAGAAGAGTTTCCATGATCTTTATTTTGTTCTGCTTATTATTTTATAGAGGCATTTGCTATAATTCGGAAGTGTCATTTCTGCATTTCTGACATATTTTGATTATAACACGAACATCACTAGGTCTGTGGTCCAACCGGTGGGAATAATGAACACACAGCACAGATTAGAGGCAGCACTTACCAACTCAGTCTTATAAGGCAGTAGGCCAATAAGAAAATAAGGTAATATAATTATAGGATAGAAACCCTCAAGGAAGTTAGGACAAAGAGGTCCTCTCCAGGCCACTGGATGCATTTGATCATTTAGCCAGAGTCTGGTACTTGGCAATATCGACACACGTGGGCGATGGCCGAGTCCCGTTTTGCAGGTCCTGCTGTGGTCTTCCTTAGGGTTGTGGTGGAGGTTTTAGGGGACACGAGCCTGTGGCAGGTGGGGCAGTGATGCCGTC